AAAAAAAAAAAAAAAAAGAAAGAACCAACCAACAACCTTGTCTTTTTCAGTTGCTCGGACATCTTCCTTGCTATAAAAAAAGAATTAACATAAAGATTAATTATCTGTGAGAAAGAATTTGTTTTTTCTTGTTCATTTGTTTGTTTTTTGAAACTGAGTCTCCCTCTGTCACCCAGGCTGGAGTGCAGTGGCGTGATCTCAGTTCACTGCAACCTCCGCCTCCCAGGTTCAAGAGATTCTTCTCCTCAGCCGCCCGAGTAGCTGGTATTACAGGTGTGCGCCACTACACCTGGCTAAATTTTGTATTTTCAGTAGAGATGGGGTTTCTCCATGTTGGCCAGGCTGGTCTCAAACTTCTGACCTCAGGAGATCCACCTGCCTCAGCTTCCCAAAGTGCAGCAATTACAGGCATGAGTCACCTTGACCAGCCTGTGAGAAAGAACTTTCCTGTAGATTCCTAGTAAATAAAGAGCTATAAGAACAGACAACAAGTCTAATTGGGACTCAGCTGCTACCCAGAGAAGCAGGGTGGAGCAGCAGTATCAATACCTCAGATTAGATAAACAAAGATCAGATTTGGCAAGAAAGGATAAGGAGTTTCGTTGCCTCAGGGCATAAACAGAAGCACTAAAGCAAGGGTCTCCAACTTGTGGTGGGTCTGTGGTCTGTTAGGAACCAGGCTGCACAGAAGGAGGTGAGTGGCAGGCAAGTGACATAAGCTTTATCTGTATTTACAGCTGCTCCCCAATCGCTTACATTACTGCCTGAGCTCCACCTCCTGTCAGATCAAAGCAGGCATTAGATTCTTATAGAAGTGTGAACCCTATTGTGCCTATGAGGGAGCTAGGCTTCCCTTTCCTTATGAGAATCTAATGCCTGATAATCTGTCACTGTCTCCTGTCACCCCCAGATAAGACTATCTAGTTGCAGGGAAACAAACTCAGGGCTCCCACTGATTCTATATTATGGTGAGTTGTATAGTGACTTCATTATATATTTCAGTGTAATAATAATAGAAATAACATGCACAATAAACATAATGCACTTGAATTATCCTGCAACCACCCCCACCATGGTCTGTGGAAAAACTGTCTTCCAAGAAACTGGTCCCTGGTGCCAAAAAAGTTGACGACTGCTTCACTACAGAACCACATCAAATCCTGAGGCTGGAAAGGGCCTCAAAAGTTAGATTATCTGGCTGGCAAGAAATGTTTGTCCTTTCTCAAAGAAGCCACAGGAAATCACCATCTTACCCACAAATCTTTTCAATGTTTTAGAACCTCTGAGTTCAATCAATATTAAATTAAAAAAAAAAGTACTTCCTAAAATGCCTTCTACTTTGGTTTGAGTCATCCTGACACTGCTAAACTTCAGCTTCACTCAATTCCTTTTGCTTTACATTTATTTATTTACTTAGTGATTGACTGAGACAGGGTTCACTTTGTCACCCAGACTGGAGTGCAGCTCACTTCCTGCAACCTCTGCCTCCCAGGCTCAAGTGATCTTCGCGCCTCAGCCCCACAAGTAGCTGGGATTATAGGCGCATACCACCATGCCCAGCTAATATATATATATATATATATATATAT